CTGAGCTCTAGCACTGACTGGGTGAGATCCCAGCATTCCTCAGCACCATGGAACCTCACAGCAGCACACATGCTGGCCATCTGGTCTGGTTGACCTGAGTCCACAGGGTGTGGCCCTAGAACCCTAAAGACCACTTGGGAGCCTCACCAAAAAAAAAAAACCACTTTTCATTCATACTTCTGATCTAAGGAAAGTATCATTTTAAGCTACAAGTTAGTGATGACTTGTTACAGCAGCAATTGGAAACGCATACCCTCTTGAAATGTGATAAGGGATGCTGAAATCTTCTAATGCCTACTAGTGTCAATGCAGCTTCTACCTGGGTAAAGGAAGTCACCAACAAACAGAGCCAGAGGCCGCAGAGAGGCCCCCAAGGACTCTAAGTGTTGACTTAAGCTATTTGAAATGGTGTAAAAGATATTCAATCCCCTCACACACACTCCATCCTGGAGGTCATATCTTGCTATCCCAGCTGCTGCCCCATCACTGTTAGGGACCAAGCAGCCTGGATGTCTAAAAGATATATGGGGAGGAAATTAGCCTCTATCTCACTCTTCCTGTACCACTAAAGGAAAATCTGAATAGGGCAGAATTCTTGGCATTGGGGGGAAAAGAAGAAAAAAAGAGTCAGAAAGAGACCTCAGATTGTGAGAATAGCATTTAATTTAAAAACAATTGAAGCAATAAATCATTCATCTCTCTCTCCATCACAAATAAATACTATCCCAACATATTTGAGATATTTTAAACAACTCTGACTAGTGCAAAAGAAAACAAACACAAACTCTTTCAGGAGCCAACACAAAAACCTGCAGGAGTAGAGTGGGAGGTGGGGGGGGATGCAGGTACAGCCTCGCCCAAGGCTGTGAGAGCAGCCTCAGATACAGGATTGAGACTCATAGAGGACTGCCACACACAAGCCCTGGCCAGAATTAACACAGAAGCATCAGAAATCACAAGAGAACGTTGCCTAAAATCAAACAATCATGCCCATCATCCTCAGGTGGCTAAGGTCCTTGGCACCCTGGAAAATGCGTGAGAAATAAGTGCAAAGCAAGTGGCTTCTGGGCAAAGTTGAAGGAACCGGTTAGGGGTGTGTTTGCTTTGGTTTTTTCCTTTGGGTCTTGTACTAATTGATGTAAGGGAGAAACCCTTTCCCTCTTTTCTTTCTGGAAAGTATACTGGGCCTTACAGGCTCTGAACTCCCATGAAATATCTGTGTTGCTTTTGTCTGCTTGGAAGTTTCCAAGAAGTGCCCTCTTGACAAATGGTGTTTTGTGCTCACCCCACCTTACCAACTGACTAAAGCAACAGTGCCCAGTAGGAGCACAGTGGAAGTTGTGTATCTAACTTTGATTTTTGTTAGGCTTATTTAAAAGAAAAGATAAAAAGGACTAATGAAAACATAACATGTTTCTCTTATTAAATCGATATCACCTAAAATCTTTTTCGGCATGTAGCACTGTAGCACTGTCCTCCCGTTGTTCATCCATTTGCTCGAGCGGGCCCAGTAACATATCCATTGTGAGACTTGTTGTTACTGTTTTTGGCATATCGAATACGTCACAGGGAGCTTGCCAGGCTTTGCCATGAGGGCGAGATACTCTCGGTAGCTTGCCAGGCTCTCCAAGAGGGGCGGAGGAATCGAACTCGGGTCATTGGCCACATAGGCTGCGTGCAAGGCAAACGCCGTACCCTCTGTGCTAAATCTATAAAATCTTGATGACTATTTTTTTCTTTTGTAGGTACAAAGTCTTCCACACTTGGTATTCAATCTCAACTGACACTCAAACTGAAACCTAATTTTAAGAAGTCAGGAATGATACTACCCTATTAAGTGGTGCAATTCTAGAGAATGTTTTGTTTTGGAGCCAGTTCTGGCTTTGTGCTCAGGGATCACTCCTGGTGGGGTTCAGGGGAACTGTACAGGGTGCTGGGGATTAAACCCAGGTTGGCTGTGTGCAATGCGAGTACCCTACATGCTGGATTATCTCTCCGGTCCTTGGAGACTCTTAAGAGAGAGTTGGGTGTGGAGATAGTTGGAAAGGTTAGTGCACATGCTTGGCATGTGGGAGGCCAGGATTGATCCCTGGGTGCCATATGGTTCCAAGCACCTAAGCACTGCTGGGCATGTACAAAAAGAAAGAGAGAAAAATAAATAAATAAAAACTCTTCCAGAATGATTTACTTGGCAAGGAAATTCTGGAACACAGCTTAAGTGATCTTATATACCAACTTAACACTACAGAACCAGACACTCTCCCCAGAACTGTCTGGCTGTCTAGGAGAGAACAAGGGATTTAGTGGGCTGGACTCACCCCTTCTAGCCTTCCTGCAGTCCCTAATGAGAGCAGGAAATAGCAGGCACATTCTCTTGTAGGTAGGACAAAACAGCCAAGTCAATTCCCAATACTACAGCAACACTGATGTCAAGTGATATTCAAACAAGATTCTTCCCAGAGTGCATTCAGCAGCCCTCTTGCCCCAACCCCCTTAGGAAAAAAAATTCCAATCAGAACCAAACTGGATTTTGGATTCATTGTACAAACATTTAGATCCAGTGACAAAATAAAAACCTTGATATGGTATATTTTCCAAAGACATATTCATTAGGACTTTACACAGATGGTTATCAAAAGGTATTTACAGGAAGAAAGTGCTCGCTTTCACATACACCCCTAACACAATTAGAACTGCACAATTACGCCATCATGATTCCACAGAGGACTTCGAACAGGCCGAAAATCGGCTGACAAAATCCACACATTATTCCAGCGTCAGTCACAAATAAATCTCATCTACACACATGTGAAACTCAGCAGTACATTCCAGGTTGATATTCCAGGGGAAACCTGCCATATATATTAAGGTATACATATAAATACACTGTTAAGCAAGCAAGAAATCTGTTAATTGCTCCAGTTTTCTCCAACTCAATCTGAAATAATGAATGGCACATGTATAAAACGTTGCCTTGTAGAAATAGCCCTTGGTTATGTGAGGCAGAAATTACAGGCAGCCACATTATACTTTTTTTTACATCTTTTGGGTCAACAAAGGGTCTAGATTTCTTTCTCTAGCTTAATGAAATTAAATAATGTAGAGCCTGCCTATAATCTTATATTCTGATTGTACACTATTTGTTTTGCAAAGTTGTATTAGAAAATTGTTTCTTCTGTTCAAAATACACTTGCTCTCTTTGTCCATGTTTCAACCCACACCCCACACCCACCCCCCCATCATACCCACAGTCCCTAAAAGACCTTTGTTTTGAGAGAGCACTGAAAACAAGCTTTTGCTCTGAGTGCGGAGTCTTTCTTCTAGGCTATTCTCTCAGCCCTCGGGAGACTGGGTTTGGTAAGGCTGCTCAGAATGGGGATTTCAACAGCAGTCAGGGTTGAGTGACAGAGGGGGACAGTGACAGTTTTGAGCACGGGTGGGAACAGTGAAGTAGACAATGACAGCGCCATGAACACACTCCTGCCAATCTCACTTGTTCCCCAACTGAAGGAAACCCAAAAGAGAGAAGGAAGAGGGAAGAACCTCCTTGTACCCACACATTCCCACCAACTGGCCACCCCTTGTAGAGATTTCACCATGTCCTCAAAGCAGAGCTGGAAAGAGAGGGTCAGGGCAGTCGCACACCTTGTGCAGTTGAGGAAATGAGGCACAGGGAGGAGGTGGGACTTGTCCAAGGTCCACAGCCAGCTTGAGACAACAGCCGGGTCTCTGGGCTACAAGGCTCTGGGCTTCAGACCTTGTCCAGAGGACCTAAGAGCTCTGTAGAAACCAGAATCCTGTCTGTTCACCAGTCCCAGGTCACCATTTTTGACTTAGTGTGGTTCCATTTCTACAGTGTCTCAAAACATCCTTCTACCACTCAACTGGATATCAAGCAGTCAGCAGTACCACCTGATTGCTTTTGATTCAACCAAATTATCTGAAAGGCAAATTTCAGAGACCCTGGGGTTCCGCAGAGAGCAGGAGGAAAACTAAATCAATTGCTTTGATTTTTTATCACATTGGGAACTCAAAGCTAACCCCAGCTTGCAAAGGACCAAAACGGAAAGGAGGGTCTTTCCTCTCACCATATAGTTTCTTAGCATCAGAAACCCTTAATGATGCCCGACATGATACCAAGGATAAGCAGTGAAGGCAAGCCAGGAGGTGATAATCCCAGAAAGGGCCACTGGGAACCCTGACCCCGAAGCAGCAAAGAGCTCAGCAAGCAAGATTAGGGGAGCGTTCAGTTCATGTGATTCAGGGAGCAAACATGATTTGAGGGAGTAGCTGTGTATTGCGATAAGAATATCTGTTTGCCTGTAGACACACACTGCACCTTAAGGGGAAGGACTGCCAAGACACAGAACTCACCTACCTTTGGGAAGTAGCATACGGTGTTGCTAAGGGCACCGGGCACTCTTCCACCCTTTGCCACAAACCCCAGGGAATTCTTGCCAGCACTTAAAGGGGTAACACAGCCCTTAAACGTCTGGCAATCTGAGTGGGGAACTAATTGTTTAAATTGTTCCTGAGTTAGAGTTTAAAATATTTACTTGCTTTTTCCAGCCCTGCTTGATCCCCTCTTGGGGTTTACCCTTTCCTGAAACACCAAATTTCAAGTTGGCCGAAAACGTCGCCCATACCCAGACTCATTCTCACACAAAGGTGCAGTGTAATGAGCCATGATGGGATGAAATGAAAATAGCTCTCAATTAAATATTTGAATCACCCAGCATGGTGAGGTCAGAAATGATGTTGTGTTATGAAAAACTTAGGTCACAAATAAAGCTCAGCCCAGTTACTGATTTTTGATATGAGACAGAAGTGGACTTTTCCATTGATTGTAGGTAAGGGCACATCATTGGCCTCGTTACTTGCTTTCTCTGGGGGCCACTACCACTGATCTCTAAAGCATACTAACAGGTTGGTGGTGAACCCCAATGTGGATGTGGCAGCGGCAGATCCCCCCACCAGCGATATAAATTCCTTCCAAATCATCCTCTCCTTGAACATTTATAAAAAGAAAAAAATATCTACAGTAGTGTATCATCACTCATAGAAGTTTCGTCCCAGTTCTATTTCAGAAGGCTTCAAATGATGTTCTTTAAATAAACTATAAATACCCCCACAAATCCCTCCATGTCTGGCGATACCGATACCAACAGCATCTTCCTTTTTTTTTCTTTTTTTTCTTTTTTTTTGGCAAATTAAAAAGGCGTATGGCTTCTTCTTGCCGATCTGTATGTTTGTAGGTCTGAGGTTTAGCTTGGTATCCGACGGTAAAAGTACATGTAGCCCAGGTCTTTGGGGGGCCTTTCTGAGGCACAGACTTTGTGGTCGTTGTAGATTACCCATCTGAAAACAAAAGACAGAATATTTGATAGATTTGAATCCATTCCAGGTATCTTTACAGAACAAAGTTATTCTATGATAAAATGCAGAATTTAAAAGAACAATATATATATATATATATATATATATATATATATATATATATATTGCTCATTTGTTTTTCAATGCCAGAAATCAAGTGATTTATCACTTGAGCTACATCCTTGGCAGCCCCTATTTGTGATGTTGTAAGATATTCCAACTCAAACCAGTTGCATAAAAAAGAAGAGAAAGCTAGGAAATTACCAGCTCCTTTATTCTTGCACTAACTGAAAAAGTTACTAAAAGTGCAACCAAACACTGGGTCCTTTGATCGCATAATTTCAGTTGCACATATTCATTTTAAAAACTCAGAAACTGAGGTCAGAGTGATACTACAGTAGGGAAAGCAACTTCCCTCACATTCTTCCAACCCCAGTTCAATCCCTGGCACCACATATGATCCCCTGAGAATTCCCAATGGAATCAGGAATAGCTCCTGAGAACTTCCAGCTATGGCCCAAAACCAAACAAACAAAAATTCAGAAATTACTTTAAAAATTGTGTATAACAACGTTTAATCTTAGATAATAGTCATGCTATAAACTATTATACAACTATTCAAATGTCTGCAAAAATATTTGAAGAGAAAATAATCAGAATATTTGAAGAGAGGTAAAACAGGTCACAAAATTAGGTACTAACTCTAAACTTTTCCAAAGTTATAAATATGCGTGTATATTAACCTGTGGTATATGTGAGGTGCACAGACAAATCATCTGCCAATGAAAATAATAAGACAAAGATAAATGCATGAAAATATAGTTTTGATGGCAATGGGTAGCCCTAGACTTTCTGATGAGATTCTTTGTGAATTTTTGTGTCTCAAGTTCTTCATAAGAAATTCTACTGCTTTGGAAAGAGAGGGACAGACATAGAAAGATTGCATTCATCTGTGGAATATAAAGTAACAAAATAGGGGACTAACACCTAAGAATAGTCGAGATAAGTACCAGGAGATTCATTCCATGGCTTGAAGGTCAGCTGCACATGCTAGGGAAAAAGGCAGCTCAGATAGAGAAGGGAGCACCAAGTAAAGGGTGTTGGAAGGATCCTCCCAGGATGGGAGATGGATGTTGAAAGTAGACTATAGACCAAACATGATTTCCACTCAATGTCTCTTTTGCAAACCACAGCACCCAAAAGGAGAGAGAGAACAAAAGGGAATGCCCTCCACAGAGGCGGGGTGGGGTGGGGTGGGGGAGGGATACTGGGATCATTGGTGGTGGAGAATGGGCACTGGTGGAGGGATGGGTTCTCGATCATTGTATAACTGAAACCCAAGCATAAAAATTTGTAGGTCTACAACTGCACCTCATGGTGTTTCACTAATAAAAATTTTTTTAAAAAAAGAAATTTTACTGCTTTGACTATAATTTAGCATTTTTCTCAAGAAAACTATATTAAGCTTGGTAATAAAAACAATTCATTGCAAGCCCCTCTGCTCAACTATTTTATTAATAAAGTTGTAAAGACAAAAAGATCCATCCAAAAGGAACACAGAGGTATTCTGGGTGGGAAGAAATCATTTCTATAGGGAGGAAAGTGACGGAAGTCCATGTCCTGGTATAAATCTGGTGGGGGTTTGAGTCCATGAAGATGCATCTGTGTCTCAGGCAGGGGTGCGCAGGCTGCTGATAGGAAAGATAAGGAAGGGAACCAGAAGGTCCCATGGCATTCTGCCCAGAGAGAAGATTCCAAGGGAACAACAGCCTTCCAGCCCGTAACTGTCTCAGTCCAGGTCCATCACATACCCAACAATTCTCCCAACAATATGACCAAGAAGCCTTGCAAGGTTACAGTAGGGCAAAGCATTGAGTTGCTGGACAAAACACAGGATACCCAGTGAATCCTGAATCTCAGATATGTAAGAAACAATCTCTTAGTATAAGCATGGGCTGGAGCAATAGCACAGCGGTAGGGCATTTGCCTTGCATGCAGCCAACATGGCCGACCCAAGTTCAATTCCTCTGCCCCTCTCAGGGAGACCGGCAAGCTACCGAGAGTATCTTGCCCGCACGGCAGAGCCTGGCAAGCTACCCGTGATGTATTCAATATGCCAAACACAGTAACAACAAAGTCTCCAATGGAGGCGTTACTGGGCCCTCTCGAGCAAATCGATGAACAATGGGAGGGCAGTGACAGTATAAGCATATCCCGATAATACTTGAGACATGTATACTATGAAGATAGTTGTTGTTTGACCTGAAACTGAAACTGAAACGCAGCAGGACATCCAGCTTTGTTTTGTGGACTGGTTGTGGAAATCTCACAGAGATTTCAAATATGCCACACATTGTGTCTCAGGACGTGCCATAGAGTAGACCCTTCAGAGTGATAGCTGAGGAAGACTCTGACTCATGCACTAACCTCATGCGCTTTAGCCATCCCCAGCACTGTTGTCCTGATGTGTAAGAATATACAAGACTAACGCTGAGAATCAAATTAGGCAACATAATGAAACACCTAGAAGAAAGCCTGGAACACTGTTAATGCTCAAAAGAAACAGCTGTCATTTACATTTCAAAGAAAAAAGACTCACCTTCCCTCCTTTTTGATATGGCAAACATAATGGCCACTCATGGTCGATGTTCCCATGTGACTGATGAACGCAAATAATTCATACACTAGGAACAAGGAAACAACTGCGTTACAAGACAGCATTTTCAGAAATCAATAGCACTTATGGTCAGAATAGAGAAAAAAACAGTTGTGTTGATCCAGCAAAAGTGCAGACAGGGAAAATCTATTTACCTTCTTATGCTGAGAACCCACATGCATACCCAACCAAAGAGACACCAGATTCAATGTGCAAATTATAACAAGCAGGATATGAACTTACAGTGCAGCTGCCAATGAGCTCTTATCTGGAAAAGGATTTTAAAATCCCACAGCCTGGCCTAGTGGCTAGCTCAAGGATCTTAGAGGGCAGCCCCATTGCCATTGCCTTCAAGCAGCCTGTGAGGAGGGGGCGAGTGGTTTCATCTAAGTCTTTTCACAGATATTAAATATCCACACACTTCACAAGATTCTATGAAGCATAAATGAGCAATTCAAACTAAAATGCCATATAAATGTCAGGATAATGAGGGAGACAGCACGTAGCTGTTATCATTTATAAAACGGATAATGCTTTAGAATATGCTTCCTGTGATTTCTGACTGGCTCATGACTATAAATTACAGAGAGCCAAAATTCAGGCTCATGGTTACTGAACAAGGAAACATGCAACTTCTAAAAGAGCCAGGTCAGAGTTTTGGTTGGTTTTCTTGCTATTGTTTTTTGTTTTTTTGCTTTTTGGGTCACACCCGGTGATGCACAGGAGTTACTCCTGGCTTTGCACTCATAAATTACTCCTGGCAGTGCTCAGGGAACCATACGGGATGCTGGGAATCAAACCCGGGTCAGCCGCATGCAAGGCAAACGCCTTACCCACTGTGCTATTGCTCCAGCCCCTTTATCACAATTTGGTATGTGTGTATACATCTGTGTGATGTATACACATGTTTGCATGCACTCTCAGCCAGAATCATGGCATTACATGGAATTATTTTCTTATTTCATTAAAATAAAATTGGAACATCATTGTTAATATAGGTAGACACAACTGAATATTTTATATTGATCTTGTTTCTTTTACAGACCCTGCTGAACCCATCTATTAAATGTTTAAGTGGGTATCTTAGAACTTTCTATATACAGGATCATGTCATCTGCAAATAAAAAATGACTTTTCTCTTCCCCCGCTAATCTGCATGCCTTCTAAATATTTTTTCCTTGCCTAACTGCCATGACTCCTATCAATGTTAAACAGAAGGAACAAGAGTGAATATCCATGTTCTGTTCCTGATCTCAGGTGAAAAGCATTCCGTCTTGCAACATTAAGCATGATATAAGCTCTGAGATATTTTATAACTGCCCTTTATCAGATTAAAAGAGTTCCCATTGATCCCTAGTTGGTTAAGCATAGTTCCTTCAGCCATAAATATCTCAGTAAATGATGAGCCATTCCACAGGAAACACAGGATTAAGTCTTAACTTCTCCCTCACTCTTCATATAAATCCAATCCACCAACAAATCCTGAGAACTTTCCTTTGAAAATATATCCAAAGTTCAACCACTTATTCCTACTTCCATTAGATTCCCTTGATTCCTCCCGGCTTCCTTCCTCTCCATTACCAACTATGTCCAGTATATAGCAGGCAGAGTGGTCTTTAAAGGATGTCAAATGGTGGTGGTATTCTGGCCTCCAACGTTTCAGGGGCATCCGGTATCTCAAAGTAAACTCTTGATTGGACAAGAACCTATGTGGTCCAACTGTTCCTTCCATTCACTTCCTCTTTGCACTCCAGCTCTTCCAGTTTCATCCTCAAACATCCCTGCTTGGCCTTCAAGCCTCCATACCTACTGTCACCTCCTATGTCGGAAACTTTCCTTGGCAATGAGATCCCAGACCAAAAGTTGCCTCTTCAGGGAGGAGTTTCTGAACCACCTTCCAAAAGAGCAACCTTGTCTCCCCCACCCCAATCCCATCTCTTGTTCCTTGTTCCCTTGACCCTCCTTTACTCTTATCTCAAAGTAACACCTGCTGATGAATACTTACAGGTTCATCAATTTACTCTCAACTGCCTTCTGCTCCAGAATAGAACATTATTCAATGAAAACACAAAGTTTAGTTGGTTTTTGTTTACTAAAACATTGAAGCTCAGCATTTGGTAGGCATGTAACAGTATTCATTGAAGCCATAAATGAATGAATCAAGTGTCTCCTTTGATTTCTATTTTTTTCTTTTCTTTCTTTTTTTTCTTTTAGGGCAACACTTATCTGTGCTCATGACTTTCTCCTGACTCTATGTTCAGGGATCACTCCTGTGAACTCAGGGGACCATACTCAGGTGTTGGGGATCCAGACCAGGTCAGTCGTGTGCCAGGCAAGCACCTACCTACTGTACTACAATCCTATCCCCTATTTTATTTCATTTTTACTTGGTTTTATATCGCTTTATACTGTGCACACTTTTTATAAACCTCCCTACCAAAGGATGGAGCATAAATTAGAAAAATAATTATTGCAGTCAGACCAAGGGTACGAGTAGGGCATTTGTCTTGTATGCAGCCAACCTGGGTTTGATCCCCAACATTCCATATGGTCCCCCAAGCACCAACAGGAATAATTCTTGGGTTCGGAGCCAGGATTAACCCCTGAATATTGCTGGACATGACCCCAAAAGCCTAATAAAAATAATAATTATTCTCATATGATAATAATATAAATGAATAAATCAGAGTAGATTGTCTTTTGTACCATTCACTTGTTATCACATTAACTGACAGCCACAACCCCTAGGTTTAAAACCAGAAACCAAGCAAAAGCAGTTGTTAATGACAATTAATTTTCTTGGTACTGGAGCGATAGCACAGTGGGTAGGACGTTTGCCTTGCACGCAGCCCACCCACGTTCGATTCCTCCATCCCTCTCGGAGAGCCCAGCAAGCTACTGAGAGTATCCCGCCTGTACAGCAGAGCCTGGCAAGCTCCCCGTGGTGTATTCAATATGTCAAAAACAGTAACAACAGGTCTCACAATGGAGATGTTACTGGTGCCCACTCGAGCAAATCGATGAATAATGGGAGGACAGTGCTACAGTGCTACTTATTTTTTAAAAGTTATCCAAGGCGCCAAACCCTCCACTACCAACCTTACAACATTTAGTCTTCCTCTTCTTCCACTCATCACTTGAGAATCTCAGTTTTATAATTAAAGGCCAAGGGAATTTTCATCATTCAATTCTGCAAAGTCCCTTGTTTGATCTCTATATTCCAGAGATGAGTGAGATCATCTGGTATTTGTCCTTTTCCCTCTATTGTAGCTGCACAATATTCCATTTTTTTTTTTTGCGTGTGCTACAACTTCTTTACTCATCTATTGTTGGACACTGGACTGTTTTCATATCCCGGCTACTGTACTTAGCATTTCTAACCATAAGCCTGGTTCATATAATTGAAACCCTGCCTAAACACCAACACTAAAACACAAGGTAACATATTGCAAACCTTAACGTCAAAAAGGGTAGAAAGAGAGAGAGAGAGAGAGAGAGAGAGAGAGAGAGAGAGAAGTGTCTGTCATAGAGACACGCTGGGGGTTGACGGTGGGAGGAAAACTGGGGATATAGTCAGTGAGAAATGTGTACACTGGTGAAAGGTTGGGTGTTTGAACATTATATAATTGAAACCCAGTCATAAACAACTTTGTAACTGTGTATCTCATAGTGATTCAGTAATGAATAAATAAATAAAATACAAGTTAACAAAACAGAGAGAAAAGGGAAAATCCACAAATCCCAACACACCCAAACACATCATTAAGCCTCCAAATGTATTCTTTCCCTAATCAGTTAAAACCAATTAACATATATAATCAGAATATGAAAATAAATTAATAGCATAAATGTTAGTCCTATAATTAAAATTAACCATGTTTATCAATGGAAGATACCAGCCCACGCATTATTCAAGACCTCCTGCTAAAATCAACAGCAAGAGAAAAATCTCTCACATATTTGCAAAAACTCAACAGGTGAATTTATACTTTCATACTTTTTTCCACAGAGAAACAGAAGTGACAATTAGGTGAGTAGCCAGACAGGAAAGTTATTGCTGATTCTTCTCTAAATTTCCACAAGTATCCTTTAGAACAATAGAATCAGCACACACTACACATACTCCCCCAAATGCAGAGATATCTTTTTTGTGTAGCTAGAAAGGGTCGCTAAAGACAAAGCCAATCAGTGCTCAAAACATTGACTTTTAACACAGAAACCCGCCAAGGTTCCGGGAAGAGTTGAACAAAACTGTCTAAATACCTGGGAAATTCCCTCTCTAATTAGCTCGAAAAAACAGCATCCACAACTATCCCTTTCCTCCTCTCTTCCCGCTTCCAACAAAAGGGATCTTTCTGTAATTTCTGAAAATTTCCCAGCCTTTCTATAGAAAGAATTCTTCACAGCAAGACATTTTCAGAACCCAACCTCACAGCAATTTTCTCTGAAGCTGCTCTGTCAGAAAGCGCCATCACTCCCAGAAACTGCCAGGCAGGACCCAGGCCCCTCCAAAAAGGAAAGCAGAGTTAGCAAAAGCATCTGAAGCTTAAGAAAAGGCAGTGAGCAGGATGATTCATCTCTCAGAAAAGTGCCACCAAGGGTCATCTGGGTGGGCACCGGCAAACTGTGAAGACCCAGAGGTCAAGTCTAGCCCACAATTTTTATTTTGCTGAGGAGAATGGCAGATCAGGGGGAGCCGATGGGACAGGGGTCAGAAAGCCCGAGCATTCACTATCTGGCTCCTTAATGAAAAGCTTTGCCAGTTGCTGGTCTGGTGGAATAAATACACTTATTAGCTCATCGACTGAACACTGCTGAAACTCCCAGACTTGTAACTTGTTGACTAAATTTTTTCAGATAAAGGCACAAAAATGTCTGTTCAGTAGACAAGTGCCCTCAAGGAACTATGGTCTATGCCCATGAACACATGAATTTTTTTTAATCTAACTCAGCAAATATACTAGCCTCTTTGGTGCTTTTGAACCGGTAGTAATGTTCAGCTAGGTTCCTCATGAACTACTGAGCTAA